TCCCCACCCCGGTGGGCTCCTGATTGAAAGAAGAGAGTGGATCGGGATCAAGGTTCCAACACATGAGTGAAAGTGGAGCAGAAAAAGAATGATCCGATGCATGAATGTGCGGCCGCATGATGAGCCTGACGGCACGCTTGGCCGAGAGCGTGCCCCAGATCGGCCTAGTCACTCGGTTCGGCTCCTCTTAGCGAGGAGGGATTCGATCTGCTCAAACTGGGATTGCAGCTGTCCCGACAGCCCTCGTTGCAAGTCGCCGACGGCTGATTGAACTGATGCTTGAATCTGGAGATGCTGATCCGCAACAGCCTGTCGAAGGCTGCCGATCTCGTTGCTTTGCTGATGAACGGCTTGGTTCAGTGTGTCGACCTGTTCCTGGGCACGTTTTGCCTGTGCACCTGCTTGCGAGAACCAGCCTTCGAATTTGGAGCCTTGTACCTTGAGCTCCTGAACCGTGTACTCAAGTTGCTGGAGTCTGGCGTCAGAGCTCCCGCGTTGCTGGTTGGCAGTGGTATCATCTGATTGTAGTTCGTCGCGAACAGCTGTCGTGATGGATTGCTTGAGCTGGGCTTCAAGCTGATTGAGCTTTGTCCCGATGCCAGAAGAGAGAGACGGGGGAGCAAGGCCTGGTGGTTTGGCCCAAGGGTCAAAGCCAACGGTCCAGGGGTCGACAGAAGCTGTTGCAGCACTTGAGGTGGCAAGGTCAGGCTTGACCCCCTGGATGTGCTGGCGCGTCTTGCCGGAAGCGCATATGTTCGGCCCTGCTTGGACGTGGGCTCCAATTTCACGGATTTTTGTGGCAAGGACATCCCCATTTGGGCCAGGGAGCACCGGTGTTGGTGGAGGTGTGTCTGTTCCGATCTCCCAAGAGCACCCCTCAGAGGACCCTTTGCCGGATTGAAGTGGCTTAGCAGCCCACTTCCATTCCCGGAGGAGTGCAGTGACTCCGGCCCGTTGTGTGCCGTGGGGAAGTGGGAAGAGCCGATAGATCGTGGTGACCTTCGCCTTGACAAATGCTTGGCCGGGCCTGAGGTGGGCAAAGGCTTGTTCCTCATCAGTGTCTTTGACTCGGATGCCGTAGCGAAGGCCGAGGCGAGCGATGCTGACTGTTTTGTCACAGGTGCGGGCCCGGTGTTTCACCTCCTCAAGAGTAAGGCCAGGGAGCCAGATGATGGCGTGGTGGTTGTCTGTGCGGCGGCCATCAAGGCTCCGAGGCTCAAGATAGATGCCGCTAGTTCCAGATTGTCTGTGCATCTGGGTGATGGCGCTTGCAGGGATCCTCAGTAGCACTTGGAAGACCTCGGCAGTTGCCGGAGTACATTTCCCGCCATCAAGCTTCTGGAACTGTCTGCTCCAGACATCAAGAAGAACCTGGTTGACCGATTCCTCAACGGCTGGGTGGAACTTGGGACAGGTGGCATTGCACGAGGATTCTGTGCAGAGTTGAAATTGTGGGACGGATCGTATGAGGGTCCGGACAGGGGATTCAAGGAGCTCGGTCCATCCTGCCCCAAACTCGTCACGGTAGACCGAGGCACGAATGATGATGGTGTCAATGAGCTCAAATGTGGTGCAGGCGTCTGGCTGGTTGCGTTGGATGTTGTTGTCCCCGAGTTGTATCAGAGAACCCGATACAAGAACGGGTTCGTCTGTGCCGCCGTAGATAGCTGAGTAGCGCAGATTTTCGCAGGGAAGGAGGCCAACAAGGTCATGTGGGACCTCGGAGGTAGTGAGTATAGGCCGAGTGCGTCGATTGAGATGGACTCGCCATCCCTGAGAAATGGCATCGCGTCTTTCAGACTCGCGATGGCTATGCCTCTGGTGTTGGTGCTGAGCTGCTCAAGGGAGATCTGGGTGACATCTACTCCGTCAGTGTCGACGAATTGATTCCCAAGGGTCAGTTGGTGTGGAGGTACCTCAAGAGATACCGGGCCTTTTGGTCGATTGCTGGATGTGGCCTTTTTGTGCTTGGCGCTTTGGATCGCTGCACCATGTTGCGTCGTTGCCCGGACTTGGATGTAGTTGTTGAGCTCATCTGGCTTGACAAGCCGGAAAGAGGTTGCCGGCCGTGATGCCGCGGCTTTAAGTGCCTGCCATTGATTTTTGGCTGTGAGTGCTTGCTTGATTTGTTGTTGCCCAAGCTTGTCAATGGCAGCTTTCGCTCTGTCGAGCGCTGCCGAGGAAGGAACTCCTTTGCTGATAAGGAGTGCAGAGAGATGCTGTTTCTGGTCAGAGTTGTCGTTGCCAAAGGCGTAGATTGGCTGCCTGGTTGGTACGGAGATGTCAAGGAAGAGTGAGTGAGCAGCCTGAATGTGATCAGGGTTGAAAGGTGACAGGTTGCAGTAGAAGGAGACAAGGTTGACAATTGCAACGGTGCCACACGAGTTGGAGTCAGGTTGGTGGCAAAGTGTGAGTTGTTTGAGAGAATCGAGATGTGATCCCCGCAGCTGACATATGTTGCTAGCAAGCTGCCATGCCTGCTGTGTGAGGCAGTGGCCATTGCCGTCAAGGTAGATCCCAGTTGTGTGTGCGCCGTTGTGCTGCAGGATGAGCGTGGCCCAGTGTCCATTTGCCGAAAAAATGGCAGCTGTTGAGCTGGCCGGCCTGTTGAAATCCGGCATCCCCTGCCAAGGTTCATCTCCAATGGGATGAAGACATAGCAGTGATGCGGTCCTTGGCTCAAGAATGAGAATGTCGTTCCCAAAGCTTGGCGAAAGGACGTGAAGGATAGCCGAGATTTGTCCGTCGTGGAGCCCTTTGTTGCTGCAGTGACCGGCCCCTGAGATGGTGCCTCTCAGGTCAATTGTGACAGGCCCCCAAATCCGTGAGTCGAGCCGAGTCAGTGTGCGTGCTGGAAGGGTAACAACCGGGGTGTTGCCGTGGTGCCCTCTGCTGCGGACAATCTCAAAGAGAAAGGTGCCCGGTCGGACTGAGATGATGGAGATCTTGTCAAGACTGACAAGTGTGACAACGAAGGTGTTGGTTGGCTGTGGGAGTGCTTGTCTCTTGGAGATGGCTGCAAGCTTATAAGCATGCGTGTCATCCGAGTGTAGTAGCGCTGCAGGTGCGAGCAGGCGGTTCTTGTGGAAGAGCCGGTAGGAAAATCCCCATTCACTGGAGATATGGTTAGCCTCAAGCAGCTGCGAGGTCCTGATTGGTGATTGTACAGTGAGATGTGTGGTGGATCCATCATCGTGAGTGATGGTAAGCTGCCGAGGGATGTGCATTTCCGGCAGCACCCAGTGGTCGTCCCTGGTGTTGATGAGGAGCTCCTTGAACCGATCGAGGGCAACGATCGGTGGTGTTGTAGCTCCATGAAGCCAGCATGCCAGATGGGCTGCGACCCATACGACTTGGAGAGGAGCAGCGATTTGCCCGACCAGGCACAACGCTCCTCGTTGGTTGGGAAGGTAGTGGTACGTGGCTGGAATCGAGTTGAGGAGACCGGCTTCTTGAGGATGAAGAAACCTTGGCCGATGGGGGTCCTTGGATGGTACTCCGAATCCACGTAAGCCTCCAGATAGGAGGCGAGTCTCCCCAAATCGGGATGATCGGCATCCGCACGGACAGGGTTGCAAAGGGACCCCCCACGAATGCAGGGCGGTCGGTGCGGGTTGTTCTGTGTCAAGAGTTCTCCGGTCGTTCCCGTATGTGGGGCAGTCGTAGTAGGATTTCTCCAGGTCGCTCCAATGTCGTGGTCGTCGGGCCAGATTGGCCAGGTTGGGATAACGTCAGAGACCTTTTGAAAGGTGTTGTCCCGAGGCCAGGACAGGATCGAGTGGTGGTCGTGATCGTTTGGAAGTAGAATTCCAAACCAACGGTGCCGGCGTGAGACCCATTGGTCTTGCAGGTCAAGCGTCAGGGTCTTGAGGCACATGTTTGTTGCTGCTGCAAATTGCCGAATGGACTCAATGATGCATGGATATTTGAGCACGCTGGCCACGCACTCAAGAACCAATCCATAGCATTGAGTGAGCCATGCTGCTCGTAGTATGTGGGCAAGTGTTTTGCTTCTGGGGTCGGCAGTGCCTCGTTTGTCGCCCTGATTAGAGTATGGCTGGCACGGAAATCCTGTTGTGAGAAGGAAGGGGCGTCCAGGCTCGGTGTCCTGGAGGTCAGCGAGTGTGGAGGAGAGTTGGATGTCTGCGCATCGAACCATAGCCTTTGTGTTTGCTTGCAAAGACTGGCAGGCAAGTGGACTGTGATCGGCGAATGCGGCGGAGTTGAAGCCACAGAAGGCGAAGCCGAGGCTAAACCCTCCCATACCCGCGCAAAGCTCTTTGACGAGAGCCGGTGGTCCGAATCCCTAGCCCCCAGCGAGAACCGTGAATTGCTTCCCAGGCTCCAAACCGGCAGAATCCCATCTGAGTGCTCGCAGAGGATGTCATAGAGGGTCCAAATACCTGGTGTAAAGGCCGTTGTACCTGACAGCACGAAATCCTGAGGTGGACTCAGGCCTCGAAAAAGGGAACCACCCGAATGCGGCTCCGAAAATGAGGCCACCAAAGAGACCACCGTGCCCGGTGGCATTTGGTCCAGCCGAGGATCCATGGCAATGACTGTGCCCCTACCTTCTGTTGCTAGCAGCTTCACCTCTGGCAGGCGTAGGGCCGAAAGCTGGCTAGGGGGACTATAACCTGAATCACTCAATGGGGTTTACAGCGCCCGGCTGCACATACAACACTCGCAAATCGGACCGGTGGAATCTCCCCGGTTAGCGGACCCTCTCACTTCCATGGGCGCAAAGTCCAAAGTGTTTGCTTCCATTCAAATGGCTGTGGCTCAAAAAACCGGTACCAAATTGGAACCCTGGTAAGTGGAAACATGGACCAAAACCCGCGCAACCCCCCGTGCTTAGTTTTGAGCCACACCCACATGGTCGCCCAAAAAGGTGCAAAGTCCTGTGGCAGTGAGGGGTCAAGGAAGCCATGTTGGTTGCTTCGTTCCATGTTCAGAGGGACCAAACAGAACGGGACTCAGAGCTTCGCCGCTAAACCCGCCTTGGCGGCGAAGTTCCTCCGGGCCACGTCCTATGCGCCAAAGGGACCCGTCCCTGGGATGCGTGGTGAACGTCCTCTTAGTTTCCTTTTTCCCAGCCAAAAACGGGGTGTCCACTCCCCCAAACATGTGAACTCATGGTGAACGTCCTCTTAGTTTCCTTTTTTCCCAGCCAAAAACGGGGTGTCCACTCCCCCAAACATGTGATCTCATGGTGAACGTCCTCTTAGTTTCCTTTTTCCCAGCCAAAAACGGGGTGTCCACTCCCCCAAACATGTGATCTCATGGTGAATGTCCTCTTAGTTTCCTTTTTTCCCAACCAAAAACGGGGTGTCCACTCCCCCAAACATGTGATCTCATGGTGAACGTCCTCTTAGTTTCCTTTATCCCAGCCAAAAACAGGGTGTCCACTCCCCCAAACATGTGATCTCATGGTGAACGTCCTCTTAGTTTCCTTTTTTCCCAGCCAAAAACGGGGTGTCCACTCCCCCAAACATGTGATCTCATGGTGAACGTCCTCTTAGTTTCCTTTTTCCCAAAAACGGGGTGTCCACTCCCCCAAACATGTGATCTCATGGTGGTCCTCTTAGTTTCCACTCCACTCCAAACATGTGATCTCATGGTGAACGTCCTCTTAGTTTCCTTTTTTCCCAACCAAAAACGGGGTGTCCACTCCCCCAAACATGTGATCTCTTGGTGAACGTCCTCTTAGTTTCCTTTTTTCCCAACCAAAAACAGGGTGTCCACTCCCCCAAACATGTGATCTCATGGTGAACGTCCTCTTAGCTTCCTTTTTCCCAGCCAAAAACGGGGTGTCCACTCCCCCAAACATGTGATCTCATGGTGAACGTCCTCTTAGTTTCCTTTATCCCAGCCAAAAACAGGGTGTCCACTCCCCCAAACATGTGATCTCATGGTGAACGTCCTCTTAGTTTCCTTTTTTCCCAGCCAAAAACGGGGTGTCCACTCCCCCAAACATGTGATCTCATGGTGAACGTCCTCTTAGTTTCCTTTTTTTCCCAGCCAAAAACGGGGTGTCCACTCCCCCAAACATGTGATCTCATGGTGAACGTCCTCTTAGGGGTGTCCACTCCCCCAAACATGTGATCTCATGGTGAACGTCCTCTTAGTTTCCTTTATCCCAGCCAAAAACAGGGTGTCCACTCCCCCAAACATGTGATCTCATGGTGAACGTCCTCTTAGTGTCCTTTTTTCCCAGCCAAAAACGGGGTGTCCACTCCCCCAAACATGTGATCTCATGGTGAATGTCCTCTTAGTTTCCTTTTTCCCAGCCAAAAACAGGGTGTCCACTCCCCCAAACATGTGATCTCATGGTGAACGTCCTCTTAGATTCCTTTATCCCAGCCAAAAACAGGGTGTCCACTCCCCCAAACATGTGATCTCATGGTGAACGTCCTCTTAGTTTCCTTTATCCCAGCCAAAAACAGGGTGTCCACTCCCCCAAACATGTGATCTCATGGTGAACGTCCTCTTAGTTTCCTTTTTTCCCAGCCAAAAACGGGGTGTCCACTCCCCCAAACATGTGATCTCATGGTGAACGTCCTCTTAGTTTTAAGAGTTGGGAGACTGGCAACCACTGAAGGGGTCTCCGGGAATTATTTTAGCAAAAAATAGTAATTGAATTGCAACGGAGAATTGCAATCGAGGTCAGGTGGATTTCCATTTTGCACTTCTAGATTGCAACAGCTTTGAGCTGGGCTTTCATTTAGCAATTTCAATTAGTGACGGCAGCAACGGTCAATGCTGAATGGCATTGCTCCTGCAACAATGATGGACCTCCTTCACTGAGCGCGTTTGCTATTTTTTGCGAATTTTTGCTAATTTGTGCTAATTTTTGCTAATCTTGGCCAGGGCTTGGCGAACGCATTTGCACAAAATAGCAATATTTAGCAACCCTCTCGTGGTTTTGGCCCCCTGGAAGCTCATTTTGTGAGAGGGTTGCTATTTTAGCTAATTTTTACTAATGTTCACTAATGTTCGCTAATTTTTGCAAATCTTAACCAGGGCTTGGCGAACACATTTGCAAAAAATAGCAATATTTAGCAACCCTCTCGTGGTTTTGGCCCCCTGGAAGCTCATTTTGCGAGAGGGTTGCTAATTTTTGCAAATCTTAACCAGGGCTTGGCGAACACATTTGCAAAAAATAGCAATATTTAGCAACCCTCTCGTGGTTTTGGCCCCCTGGAAGCTCATTTTGCGAGAGGGTTGCTAATTTTTGCTAATTTTTACTAATGTTTGCTAATTTTGCAAATCTTAACCAGGGCTTGGCGAACGCATTTGCAAAAAATAGCAATATTTAGCAACCCTCTCGTGGTTTTGGCCGCCTGGAAGCTCATTTTGCGAGAGGGTTGCTAATTTTTGCTAATGTTTACTAATGTTTACTAATGTTTGCTAATTTTTGCAAATCTTAACTAGGGCTTGGCGAACGCATTTGCAAAAAATAGCAATATTTAGCAACCCTCTCGTGGTTTCGGCCCCCTGGAAGCTCATTTTGTGAGAGGGTTGCTATTTTTTGCTATTTTTTACTAATTGTTACTAATGTTTGCTAATTTTTGCAAATCTAAACCAGGGCTTGGCGAACGCATTTGCAAAAAATAGCAATTTTAGCAACCCTCTCGTGGTTTTGGCCCCCTGGAAGCTCATTTTGCGAGAGGGTTGCTAAGTTTTGCTAATTTTTACTATTTTTTACTAACTTTTGCTAATTTTTGCTAATCTTGGCCAGCGCTTGGCGAACACATTTGCAAAAAATCTAGTTCCAGTGCAATTTAAATTGGCTAATTGTGTTGCTATTTTTTGCTAAATAGTTATTCTACTGTTTCCAGAGGTTCCCTGCAATCCAAACTCTTAATCTTAGTTTCCTTTATCCCAGCCAAAAACAGGGTGTCCACTCCCCCAAACATGTGATCTCATGGTGAACGTCCTCTTAGTTTCCTTTTTTCCCAACCAAAAACGGGGTGTCCACTCCCCCAAAAAATGTGAAGTTCCTCCTGAAGGTGTCCCTGTAGTTGGTCTGTATTGCTGAGAACCCGGAAATTGAAGCCCTGGTTTTTGCAGAGGGTACCTGCGACACAGCCCCACGGAAAACCTCCAAACCACGAATTCAATCAGGGGGAATAGGGCTGACCCACCAGAGCCGATCCACCTGCTCAAACAAAGGTATGAGTATACCCCAAAATTGGTGGGCTAGCTCTAGTGCATCAGGCCGACTCCCAGAAAAACATGACCGCAAGCGTTGGGACAAAGGGGCGATATTCTCCAGCCCTTCCAACCCTAACCCGGCCGCACGACGTTTGTACCTGGACAAAGCGTTCGTAGCTCAGCACAGGGGCCCAGAAAAGGTCGTGGCGCATCTTCGTTCAAATAGCCAGCAGTTGGCACGGGGAAATCAGACCAATGGTGCACCCTGTTTTGATCGTAACACTCGTAGCATCTCTGCTAAACAGGTTCAGCACAAATGGGTGCCCAAACTTCACAGCATAAACCCCAAACAGGAAGACTTGCATTCCAGCGTCCAAGGTGCAAATCGCAAATGCTACTAGATCTGCGTACCACAAAAATCACCCTGAGCGCTCGTGTTGATGCCGTGCCACTCACTCGTTGAGTGATTTGGCCAAAAACGTGACCAAACCTTTTGGTTGACCACTGAAATGGTCCAAACCCAAGCAGCATGAAGTCCGGGAACTCTTCGTAGAACCAAGACTCAGCCACACCCTAATGCCCTACAGCAGCACACCGCGCAAGTCTCAGCCTCGTACAGCAACACACCAACATAGCAACTCTGCATTTGCTTAATATTGTAGAGGAAAAACAACATACTCTTAAGAAAATGGAAGCAACATCATCCTGTTAAGCGCACCAGTTAGTACCCAAGAAAGCTTTCAGCTATGGAAACACAAGCACCTTCTTACTGACTTGCAAAGCAAGCACACACACACACAAATGGGATGGAATTAACACAGCCTGTTAGTCCGCTTCGCTTGATCAGGTGCATAAATTACCTATTTTGAATGAGATTCGACTTGCAATTGTTCGCATCATGGTGGACGCTGACAGTAGTCCATAAATCCAGGCGAATCATATGTTTGTCTGTTCCTGCGCGCCTTGAATGTAAAGCTGAAGCATGTGATGTTTCTCATGCTTAAAGAATGTGAGTGTTGGGAACTTGGAAAGGATAGAATACATGTGCTAAATACATGTTTCTTGCTACAACTGGCATGACTGATGAATGACTGCACACAGCACTGGCCTTCGTTACAGCGATCCTGTGCTTGGTTGCTTCGCAACTAGGGGGCTTTAGCAGGGCGACAATGTGCAACTTGGGCAGCATCATGAGCAAAATGATAATGTGGAATGCACTCATGCTTCACATGTTGAGCCAGTGAGCCGTCCCCTAAGTTACTGATGATTCACACTTGACGATCGAACATATTGACACACAGCTGAGTGTTCGGCATGATCAGCTGCAAGCTCTCAAGTCTATTTGGGAAAATATGAAGTAACGATTTGCTTGTGGTCTTCTGGATTAGCTATTCGTGAACATTGGTACTCAGAGCTCACGCGGGCCACAGACTTGGCATCCGCTCTTGCTAGCATCACCCAAAACCCCTATTGACAACTTTAGCAGGTGGTTCTAAGTTCTACTACCTGCCCTGATTGGGGGTTGTAGCAAAGCGGATAGAAACCCTTCATAACCATGTTGCTAGAACAAACCGTCAATTTCCCGAAGGGGGGCACTGATCACACGAGCCCAGTTGGATGTGGCTCAAAATTAACGGCTGGGGCAAACCGCAGGTTTTGGTGTTTGTTTCAGTATACCAGCGGGCCATGGGCACACTTTCTGGAGCCACCGCCAGCTTGCTTTTGGGGGTGGCCGCGGACGAAGCGTCCTCACTGCTGTGCAGCATGAGGACGCTGTCCAGGCTGGTGCCAAGCTCCTCGCCGCGAGAACCCGAGCTGTTGGAAACCCAAATGCCCACGGGTCCCCGTGGATTTCCAGAACGGAACCAACAAAAACCCGCCCTGGGAGCTGGCGGCCTTTATTTAGGGAAATTGAAATCCCAGAAACCCCGGTGCAGTTCCATGGGCAAAAGAGAATTGGCACCCTTGTTTGGTAGTGTTTAAAAGGAATTCAAAAGAAAGACTTAAACAAAGCATTTGCCACCCAACTGGAGTCTGAAATGAGAACCTTGTACTTCCAACCATGGCTTCAGTTGGGTCAGCCCCCCATTTGGTTTGGCATCCCCTGAAAAGTTACCCACTAGGGAATTGCGCCCATCTACCAACTCACCCTGTAACCACCATTGTTGGCCGGAGGAGTTTCATTGTTGACCCTTATTCTAATTGGGGCACGGTTTGGACACATTTCCACTGGACACCAACAAGATATGGTGAACGAGAACCTGACCGCAAGCGGCCTTGAACATGGTGTTTATATTTGTGTGTGTGTGTCTGTCTGTCTGTTGCGCAAAACCCTCTACCAGCACCTGCCTCTTGCACAGGTCCCCCCCAAAGTCCCGTGGTTGGGACGCTTGGCGATGCTCAACAGGTGGAGGCTTCCGGGATAAAATACCTGGAATCATGACCCCTTCTTTGGGGGTAAATGACCGCAATGTGTGAAAAGCCATGTGAAGGGTCCTTCCCAACCCCGGGGCCAAGCACCGTCTAAGCTCTGCAGGACCGAAATGTGTCTAAGCAAATTTCTGCCGGGGAAAGTTTAATTATACGTCATGCAACCGGAACAGCAGTTCACCCCAAGGAGAGGAACCTTCATCCTCGAAGCCCTGCGACTCGTGAGACATGATAGGTCGGCCCACATGGCCTCCGGCCGCGAGGCCCCGGCAAAACCAAGCTTGATCTTCTGGCACCTCTAAATACCCATAGTACCTAGAAGATCTTTCTTGCCATTTTGGGACACTGTGGCTTTTTGTCTGTGATGGTGCTTTAAACTTGGTCCCGGAGTTCTTGTCTTTTAGCGGTAGGTATCATTTGCACCGCTTAGCCCCTTCTAACTACTCTGTTGGACTTGGTGAATACCACTCTACGGTGTTCTCTGTCGTTGGCCTGTTGGACTTCCACATGTTTGTTGTGATTACCCATGTCTTGCTTTGCTGCCCTCATGGATCATGGATGGGGAGCTTGCAAGATCTTGAAAATTGCAGGCGGCCGAAGCAAATCACAGGCTAGCCGGGATTGTCATTTCCGGGCATGCCTCTTGCTGTGTTAGGCCTTCATCGATATATGCCGGACGCGCTTGGCAGCGTTCCTGTGCAATGTTCCGCTCGCTATTTTCCGGGTCGGAGCGCGGGCGGAAATCCCTGCGAAGCGGGCGCAATTGCTCAGCTCAAAAAACAGCAGGTGTCCACCCCCCTTTGATCAGCGTTTGTCTCCTGATCGTGATCTGGAGAAATGCCAAACCTCTCTTCACTGTCAAGCTTCATGGTCGGAAACCCGACTCAACTTGATTAATTGATCTTCCAAACATACTTCTGTTCCAAAGTCTGCAGCACGGCAGCACTGGGCCCTGGTTCCCTCTTCGTCGTGTCAAACTTCATGGATGCACTAGAACCTCAAGGCGCTTCGAGCCAGAAAACGGTGCGCCTTTGTAATCCCCTTCAAAGGATGCGATGCACCCCCCTGATCATCACCCCAGCTGGCGCGGAGAGATGGCTGACTGGCTGACTGGCTAAAAGGCAATGCTGACCACTGCCGTGGATCTGCAGCCGTTGCGAAAACCGGCAGGCATTTCCGCCAACGGAGTTTCTGGGTATGGTTGCCAACATGGGTCCAAGACTCCCTTCCTGAGTGGAAAGTCACCGCACGGTTGGTTCATCACGCACATGGGCTCCTTGCTGGCGGCGGCGAGGGACTGCGCCTGCACCTTGGTCCGGGGGAAGCCGTCCAGGACCTCAGACGAAACGAAACGAAGCGCTCGTGGTTTTCTTCGCTACCAGGAACAAAATAGGAGGTATGAATCGAGGTTTGGGTTGGGACAATCCTCAGCAGGGCCAGCCGAAATTTCAATACAATCAGTTGCTTCCCACCTTCAGTGGGTTGGGTATTAAACAGGCGGTCAAGACGAATTACAAATACCAATTAATGCCTATTCGTTGCCCTTTGAGAAAACCAAGCTCTTTGAAGCCTCTCAGAAAAGAACCACTCTGGGGAGGTGGATTCTTGACGCTTGTCCTCATTTGCAACGTCCTGCTTGCTCAGAGAGTTGAACAACCATTTGAAAGAGCCAGAAACAAGGCAATGGATGATGCTTCAGTTCACCACTTTTTGCTAAAACAACAAAAGAGTACCACACGGAAGCTAGGTGAATCACAACATTTTAACGTTACCGCAACCCCCAGAACCTTTGAAGAGGGTGTTCATCATGAGTGGTTTATAAAGCTGTATGAATGCTGGGATTAGCCACCTACCAACAGGTGCAGGAGTTTGCCAATCCAGAACACGGATGAAGTCCCAACTATTGCAAATGGAACCAAACAAAAACCACAGCCCGCCTTTGCACCGGAAATGCTGCTGCGCGCCATCCTTTCTCCAAGTGGTCTAAAAACAACAACAACAAAATATGGGTGTGGGTCAAAAATTGGTACCCAAAATGGAACCCTGGTAATTAAATGGCAACAAGAACTAAAACCTGCGCTCCCCTGGTGGTTGAATTTTGACCCATGCCCAATGTCAAGAACAGTGCAGCGCTTCAAGCCAAGCCCCACGCCCATCCCGTGTGCTTCGCCTTGCGCAGTTCTTCCTGGACGGCGCGAAGAGCAGGCTTCCAAACAAAAACCATCTGGACGCAAAGACTGAACGGACTCCAGATTTCCAGCCATACAAAACCAGGGGTGCCCTTTCTTTGGTTGACTTTCGCGGGAAATCTCCCAAAACACCACTGCAGGTCTGCCTTCAGTTCCTGGAATGCGCCGAGATTCTGACACCTCGCAGGAAAAAGCCGCACCGTCGAGTCAGCAACCAGTTGATTCACCTTGGTTCTCATGTGTCGACCAATTGTCCACCCTAAAATACATTTTGGAGGAGACTCTAGAAGGAAGCTTTGTGATTCCCTCAAAACCGGCCCTTCTACATAGAACCTGCACAAGGGTCCCATGTGCGTCTTCTTGCGAGAATTGTGCATCAATGCACATTTTTTAGGCTACTAAGTTGAAAAATACTTGGCCTGCAAGGGTCTTCCAGCCCTTCTACATAGTACTTGCAGAAGGGTCCCATAAGAAATTGGGAACATGGGTCTTCCAGCCCCAAACCATGATTCGACTTAGGCCCAGTTATAGAATGTATATTCTATTGTTTGCTTCCCTTTGAGTCACTGGTAAGATGTAAAATGTATCCTAAATCAGGGATCCTTACAATATACACCTGAACATTGCCTCGTAAATGGAGGCTTCCCTTTATTTTGGTGGGAAAAGCCATGTTTCAAATGGTTGCAAAATGTATCTTTTAAGGAGCCCTGTAAGTGTACCCCAGAAACCTGCAGGTTCCATCTTTGTTTGGGGGCTCTCCGGGCATCTCCTTCACCAGCTCGACGACCACATCATCGGCCACCAGCTCCCCGGCTTCGATCACAGCCTTCAGCTCCTTTCGTGTCCTGAAAAACCACAGCCCGATGCTTGGCACAAAGGGGAACACGAAGAAGATGATGATGGCAAACAGAACTAGCCCACCCTGAAATCCAAACATATAAGAACATAGCTGTAGGGTGAGGAAATGCTTAATCTGGGTACCCCAAAAATAAAAAAAAACAAACAGTTTGGGAGGAGAAACCATCCCCACTCAGCCTCTTTGCGGTTGCTCCCATTGACCCCTGAACGGAAACCAAAGAAAACTCTTCACTACTTTTGCCCTCGTGACTCGAGATCAGTTTCCGGCTCGGAGCAACTCCTGGAGTCTCCGGACTTGGTACATGATTCGTTTGACGTAGCTTGATTCTAAATTACCGCCATTCAAACTAGATCTTCCCTTCTAGCATCTAATCTAAGGGGTAGATGTGATCCACTGCGATCCGTGTAAACAGGGCTTCTCCTGTAAAGGGGAGCCCCCTGAATAACAGGACATGTACCGCTGGTGGAGTGTGGGTTTCCAACTGAACAGCGACAAAAACACATTGATATAATTTGGGCATATGCACGTGTCTCCTGAATCCCTAAACCTGATCCCCTTGTAAAAGGTCCATCCCTACCAATTCCAAACTGGATGCTGACAGGCAGCCTGGGAAAAAAGGTACACATCGCTGAAGGCTGAAGGGCTTCCTGTCGACAATTTTAACATTACGGTCCAGCCCTCAAACCCTGAACACATTGCAAGTTCCAGAATCAAATATAATTTGTGGCAAGATCCCATTTTCTTCAGGGTAGTTCGAGGGTTTGAGGCTTTTTTGAGGGTATTCTGCACCCGCTCCCAGAAGAATTTCTCCAGAGGGGACTCCTCAGCAGCTTGCCCACATGCACGTGCTTCAGCTTGAAGTCCTCAGCTCGAAGCCCTCCCAAAAAATGGGCGTCCCCGCTACTTTTCCCCTCCTGGACCCCTCATACCGCCCTTAAAAGTGGGATCTTGCCCCAACTTTTTGGGGCTCATGTTCAAGTAGGGCGGTACATGTCCCTTTTACAAGGGTGGTTTGAGGGTGTATCGTACTCGATGTTTTGGAGCACTCCCCTACAAATTCACGGAAGGAACCCCAACACCCACCCACTTGTAGAGGAAACTCTTTCCGAGATTTGGGCCCTTTTTTGGGGGGTTCCATGTTGATTTGTAGGGAGTCACTTTCACCTAGGGGTAGTTTGAGGGTGGTACATCATTCTGGTTTTGCTGAATCCACCGGGTTCGCCCGTTCAAATATCTGGCTCGGTGACCCTGCTGGAAACAGGAACCAGTCTTGGGGTTTTCCTGTTCAGTGGGGACCCCCCGAAGAAAAACAAAAACAAAAGTGGGCGCCATTCAATCGAAGACGGCGATACCGGAGATTTCAGCACTTAAAACATCTAAATCCCTGTCCCAGCGCATCCCAGGCAAGCCGAAATAGCTCTAAAGGCTGGTTCCTTGGCGACCTATAGATACCTGGACCCTCAAACTACCCATAAAAATTGGATATCACCCCATAATTTTGGGGGTCAACCCCATTTTTAAGGAATTTTGAGGGTTCAGGTAAATGGAATCGCACTGTTTTTGGGACTTTTGAGGTCAAGAGGCTTGGTCCAAAGGGGCGCGTGTTGTCTTGACGACCTATGGGAAATGGACCTGGGGTTTCCCGATTCGCTAATTCGGCCTTCCGAGCACACGAAACTTGGTGCGACCAACGAACTTGTGCCACTACCCAGAATGTCAAACTAGCTTTAGTAAAACGGCATCGCCCCATCATCTGGGGATGCAAAATAATTTGGATGCGGGTGGGCCAAAACAAGTACTTTATTTGGACCCGTAACTGCCAAAGAATTGCCTGTATAGCAAAAATAAACAGAAGTTCTCCCATCTCTGGGGTCCACGAGGTAAGAAACTCCTGGTTGATCAATAGAAAACACGACCCCTCTAGTAGGACAGGTTCATTGATTCGGGGATTCGCTTCATTGGTCCACGTCATGTCCACCCTAGTATAGACCCCACAATTGATATCTTGCTCAATTATGTGTTTCAAGATCAGGGTACCTGAAACTGGTTGATCCGCTTCGTGAATTCCCCTGGCCCGCGAGGAGCTGCTACCTAACCATTGGGTGTGTGGCCATTGCAAAAACGGCAAGATCTAGCTCGGGTCCTTGCCATGATCTTTCTGAACCCTGGGGACATGGCACCTTCATTAGAAAGAAAGAAAAGACAAGAGAAGAAATACTAATAAGAAAGTAATATAAAAATAGGATTAAATTAATATTAATAAGCCCAACTAACAAACAACACAGTCGTCAGCTTTGCCGTTCCGAGGCGTCGGCTACCGCAAGCTGCTGGCAGTACTTGGAGCGGTTCACCCCGGGAGGGCCCATGACGCAGACGCAGGGCTTGGATTGCTCCTTGAGGCATTCCTGGCGAATCGTATGTGTCAAGAACCGGAAAAACACCAACAGGGCTTCGGCTGATTGGCTACCCTTGAAAACGCACACAAGCAAAGCCGAACACACAACATGGGTGGTTCTCCTTTGGTGTCAATTAAAAAAGGCAAGCGCCCTCAAAAACACAGACACGTACAAACCAACCAACGCACACACACACACACACACACACACACGCACACACCCACCCACCCACCCACCCACCCACCCACCCACCCACCCACCCACGCACGCACGCACGCACGCACGCACGCACGCACGCACGCACGCACGCACGCACGCACGCACACGCGCACGCACACGCACACGCATACGCACACACGCGCACGCACGCACGCGCACGCACGCACGCACGCACGCACGCACGCACGCACGCACGCACGCACGCACGCACGCACGCACGCACGCACGCACGCACTCACGCACGCACGCACGCACGCACGCACGCGCACACGCACGCACGCTCACACGCACCGGACCCTTCGAAGGGTGGTAGCGACCCCGGCCCAGTGATAAGATCCCAATGAACTCAAGCCCGCATTCTGGGCTGTTCAACATGGGCTTGCCAATCCTATTCCATCCCGAAAGGAAGAACCCAAAACAAGGAAGGATTACTTTCAAACAACTCAGCTAAACACCGATCTGAACATGCGGGATGAGCATTTGCTTTTGAACAAGTAGTGTTGCCAAACCATACAATAGAGCAATACGTTTGAAGCCCGATATATTGCAAGTAGGGAACTAGGAAACCGTGTGGATTACTCTGGTTTGTGGTTGGTTTACATGCAACACTTAGGCCATCCACGTCATTGAGCTTGAAAGTGATCTGCAATACAATGCCATGATCATAATATTATGGACACATATTATGGACACCTGCACTGGTATGGTTGCGCAGGCTGCGGTGTCTGACGTTAAAGAGGAACTGCCTCCCAAAAAGGAAGTCAGGGCATCACGCAGTGGTGAATTTGACGTGGATTGCCTCCAGGGTATCACAGACAGTGACAACGCAATTTACTTGCAGCCCCCCACTAAAATGAAGAACGACTAAAAAGATGAAAAACACGCCAAGAACAGTCAAGGGCATCACAAGTGGCAGCCATGAGCCAAGGTTAACATCACTTGGACATGGGAACCTGTGAGTCTCCCTGAGGAATTTGGAGCTCCCGGACATCTCCCGGACAACTTGACCATAGACTTTGGGATTCCAAGCAACACAAGGGGGTGGTGTACAAAGTTCCCCTCACCCTTCCAATAAATCCAGTCCCCTCCAATAATAAATCCGACCTCTAATGCTTTGGGCACATGCTTTTCCGGAGTTCATCATCTAAATCGGGCCCTTGCCATTGTGATACTCGCTTGGAGATTTTCAAGAGTGGCTGGGGCTCTCTCCCTCCTGAAAAAGCTCCACCTATTTGGAAACTTCCCCTTTGCTTCACCTGGAAAACAAGGAACATGGATACAACCCTGAACAGAATGGCGGGTTTTCCGATCGAGCAAGCAACAGGAGGGTTGGTTTGCACCAACTCCACTAAGTAATTCCAGCAGGTTGCTAAAGTGATATAGGCCAAGCAAAGCATGTCCCGTGTTCCCAAAAAGTACAAAGTCCAGGACCTCAGGAGTGAAAAGGTTACCTATACACTAGCACTCCGCAGGTTTCGGCCCCCAATTTACAAATCTATTGACCCAAATCAAACGATGAAACTCCTGCCAATGCTCCCCTACAAATTGGCGTAGAACCCAAAAGGGAGGCCCGATCGCCGAACAACAGTGTCCTCTACAAATGGGTGGGTGTATGTGGTTCCTTCCGTTAATCTGCAGAAGTAACCTCCACAAATGAATGTTCTCCTTTGTTTACACCAACTTGCTTTGCGGTTGTTCAAATGTTTTGCATAGCCCACCAAAAGACTTGGGTGCAATCAATCAAACACAAAGATATTCACCCAACAAAACCCAACCATTTGTAACGTCAACCATTTTTGTTCGTTGGAACCCGCGAGACGTCTCGGCACCGAGCCTGGAAGAACTTGATGGGATTCTCTGGGCGCTCGACCAACACCTCGCGCTTCCGAACACTTCCGCCAGGACATGGGATCCCAAAATGGGGAAACCCCCCTGAATGCCCAAAAAGGGTCGTGGAATATCACCCGAACACCTGGGACAATCCCAATACTGTATCACATCTCCAGTGGATAAGGGTATCACTGAACATGGCAACCTAGTCCCTTGACCACGCTTAGACTCCCTGCACCAAGTTAGTTGTTTGCCAGTTGGCAGTAAATGAACATACAAGTAATAAGCCATCAAGTATATTATTTAACAACACTATATATATATATATATGTGTATATAAATGTGTCTTTACACAAATCAACAAACGTTAGTTTCTTAACGTTTATCAGACATGCATTTATAATTCACTTGATACCCAAGCTTCCACATTGGTTTCCTTCTCTCTTTTGTCCCGCCAGCACTTGCAAAAGCCCGGGTGACCATTCACCCTATGCAGGCCGGCCAAAGGGGCCGAATGACGTGCGACCTGTTGAAATCGGAAGCGTTGGAAACGTTGGAATCATGGAAACCATTGGAACTGCCTGGGTTTCTTGTGGTTGACGGTTTGAAGACCTACCAGACTTCAGATTCTGGTTCATATTGGTTTCCAACTTGATTTTGGTGTTGAAAAAGCCATGTTTCAATTAGTCAAAATGTATCTTTTAAGGAGCCCTGAGCAACTTAGTCCACCTTCAGCAAATCGGACTTTCGAGGAGACCTGCCGGCCCCGTTTTGGTGCTACCCTTGAAGCGCAAACCCACAGGAATTGCACCTCATGCTTCATGCAACCCAGAAAGGTGGGCTTGGATTGGAGGGGGGAGAACCCTGGCGTTTGTAGAGAATTAGGAGGCCTTCAAACCGCAAATCCCAGCCAACTACAGGGAAGCTGAATGTTAGCCTAAAGCGTTTTGGAGGGTACCCCTTACTCCAAATATCCTTGTTTATTTTCATTAGAGTAAGTCGACCCCTGACTGAAAATGGGCAGGTTCCATAAAACAACATGTGCTTTTTGTTTTTGTAAACATACCGTGCCAAGTAAAAAGCGGAAAAGTTGGAGTGGGGGGGGCAGTTGTTTTGGAAGGGACGTCAGTCAACTACAAACCAAGTAAAAGGAAAGTCACTGGTTGCGACTTGTCACGCCATGATCCCGCCGCGCAAAAAAGATCCAAATAGGATATGGAATCCCTTGGAATGACGGGTTTCCCTTCGGTCTTCCTTTCAATCCAAGGCCAAAAGGGCACTTGGACCTGGGGATTTAATATTGTGTACATAAATACACATAAAGGATTTGCATATCCAACATGTGGACCATGTCAAAAAACATGGAATGACATTACTTGCAGCTTCTTGATGGCCCTACATATTAAAACAAGTATACCGTCCGAGTTGGAAGCCCCAGATTTGATCCTCGATCACCCTGCAGCTCCGGCCTGCTGCAAGAGGTGTGCGAAGAGGTCATAGACCTCGAAGAAACAAATCCGAGGCGTTTTCGGCGGAATGGCCGCCCTTTGGGTTGTCAAATTACCGGATCCCCAAACAAATGGTGGTTGTCCGCTTGGTTTCCCCTCAAAACAACCCCCCAAAAAAGGTGTGCCGAAAAGAAAACAAACACACTTTGCTCGCCTGAAAGTCCAACACCGATGCACAGCCAACTCACAAGGGGAGCCAAAGGAGGGTTTTGGCCCATGGTCCTCAATGCGTCACTCCGCTTAGAGTTGCAATGGCTCCCCTTACTTACAGTATATGATGGTAAATAATAACCAAACCCCATGCGAAGGGAACCATCCTTCAAAAACTACAAACCATGACGAAGCCTTACCTGCTATACTAGCTTACCTGGGATAATGTCACTTCCTGTGAAGCTGATGCGAGCGCCATTTCACCGATTGACTTTAGGGGTTCTGAGATGCTTCTCTCTTGGCTTCCAACTGCGACTTTCTGAGTTTTCCCGGCTAAACCACTAGGTCCTCCAGTAGAGAGGTTAGAATAAGGGTACCAACTTTTTCTGTATAGTCTATTCTAGTAGGGTCCCGAACCCTCCCCCAAAAAAGAAACGGTAGGAGAGGGCACTGGGGGACCTAAACCAGGTAGGACCTGAACCTACTGATTCCGGGCGCACACCTCGTAGGACTCCAAGTAGGCGGAGGTCTCTGCCTTTCGGTGAAATTTCCCCACGCGACGCGGTCCGGGGTTTGCGGGGGGGCGGGGAAGCAAGGGCGACACGTACGGGGGGGCGAACCGGGGGGGGGGGGGGCGGTGGGGCGGGGGGGTTGGGGGGTCATGAAAAAGGGGCCAAACTTGTTCAGAGATGCGAATTCACCTAGATCCTCCAGTGGAGAGGTTAGAATAAGGGTACCCGTTTTTTTTTCTTTCTCATGTAGTCTGTCTTAGTAGGGTCCCGAACCCTCCCCCAAAAAAGAAACGGTAAGAGAGGGCACCTAGCTGGGTGACCTGGTCACTCATGTTCGCGACATTCTTCGGATGTTCCCCCAGATTTCGACGCTCAAAGACTCCGCCCTTCGAATGGGAGGGTCTGTGTGTCGGAGCCTGGACCTTGGAGACAAAACTCACACCGCCTTCAAAGGGACCCATGAAATTCACATCTGGATCTGACAAAACTTACCAACTTATTATATTGCCCAAATTCAGTGGTGCAGGTAGCTGGAACAAATGGAAATTGAGAGTCATCCCAGTACACATGTGATTGATCCTCTTATGTCGTGCTCATCATTTGGCGTTACTGTCCCCCACAATACTATTTGGATTGCTTAGGCCCTTGTATAAAGCGATTCATTGGAGATCACCTCACAATACCATCATAGAAGACTAGGCACTGCAAGACAGACTGCTCACTTCCATTAGGAAGATGGTGCCTGGAGTCTCCTTGTGGCCCTTGAAAGCTTCCTATCGGAGCCACGGTCAAAATCACTTGTTCCCCCGTGGCAAGAAGACTTCGGAAACTTTGGGACTGGTCCGCTAGACTTTGTTGGCCGGTTTTTGAGCTTGTTCCCCCCTTTCCATTTCGAATGGACTAAAAGCTAATCAGGACATGTTGACCCTTAAACCTCATTTTGTCGGCGCAAAACTATCAAACAATTTTGGACGAGACTCAAAAAAGGTGAGGAAACATGTGGTCAGTGATCAGGACCATTTGACCGATGACTCCTGCCCGAACCTTGGTGTGGTAGCCGACAGCTGACCGCCGCCGCCACCACCACCACCACCACCACCACCACCACCACCACCACCACCACCCCATTTTCCTCCCCAAGCCTGCCAAGCCTTGGGTGTTAAAGACCCCATATCGCATTGGGTTACATGGGTTTGTCTCCTCACGCAACGACCAGTGAAGACTTGCCTCTATTTAATTAGTTAAGCCCCCCAACAAACTGAACACATATGTCCCGCAGCTTCAGCCTTGTGTAACCTTACTACTTGCTATATCCTTTGGTTTTTTGGGTGGTGGCTGTGGCTGGTCGGTCTTTCTGTCAAAGTGGCCCCGAACTCCTTCTGCTCCGGCACCAAGTTCCCGAGGCCGCCCCACCTCCGTCCGAACGGCGTTCCAAGGCTGCGGTGCCGTGTGTCACACGTTAAAGGGGCTGCGATAAATTGGATAGGCAGCCCACCCATCCCTGTATTCTAGATATGGTTGCTGGCGGGTTTCTCAATGGATATCAACTGAGAATGGATTTAAACTTCCAGCTTTGGGTTGCCGCTAAAAAGACACTGTTTGAGATGTTTTAAGGGGAGACGCACAAAAATCACAAAATACATATAATAGGAAGATTCTAGGGAGATGTTAGGGCGACGTACTCGGGATATGAAGCTTTCGGAACCCATCTTAGAAAGAACGACATTTGATGATGATCCAAGGGGCCGGGCATGTATGAGCACAACGTTCTGTGAGAGGGGCCGCACATTGTGTTTACTCACTTGCCAGTGCAAGGTGCTTGCTTGGATGTTGCGGAGCTATCTTAGCATTGCATCTTTTAAGCTGCTCGTATAGTTTTTGCGGGATGGGTTTACCATTTCGCGACCTCACTTGCGAGTGCAGGACGGTTGGAGAGATCGTCTTATGATATCCATGAGCCAGGAGGTTTGTAATTAAGGGGCGGTGGAAAGCACACTCGCTTGACATTCGTGCGCTGTGCTGGGCGGGCTCGCTTGAGCGGATGCTCTTACTACCACCTGGCAGGCCTGCGTATTCAAGGCAAGAGAAGGAGCGGCTGCGGCAGTGGAAGCTGGCTACCTCAACGGCCTGCAAGTGAAGACTGCTGCAAGAGATTAAGATTTGCAAAAGGATAATTTGCTGAGTTATTGGAGTAGGTGAAGAGCTGATCAGTGAAGACTATGGCGAGTGGGCACTGGAAACTGGAAAGTGGAATGCCAAAAGCATCTAGAGACGTGAAGACAGCGGTCCAGCAAGAGCAGAGGCTGGGGTAGAGCCGTCCACGTGACCAGCACTCTCACAAGCGAGAACCAGCCACACTCACATGCGAGATCGAGGAGCACTCGCAAGCGAGTAGGCGACACGTTGGGGTCGTGTTCCGGTCCCAAGCGCAACAAAACAAAAAAACACCAACACACACAACAAATGTTCAGATCGGTTTGATGGTGAGCTATGCTTGTCCTGGGTCCCTTAAAAGAGGGCACAGCTTTGAGGACTTCTCAAGAAGAGGGACTCGGCGGTTTCAGCTCATCGGCATGAGGGTCATGTTCACAAGGGGTATCAACAAAACACCTGTTGGTTTGAGGTCCAAAAAAACTTAGGGTGAAACTGGAGGGTTTGGTTAGAGGTCCATTTTGGTTTGAGGTCCAAAAAAACTTAGGGTGAAGTTTTATATACCTCGGGCCTCAAACTGCCTACCCCGGAACCATCCTGTGAGGAGGGGTCTGGATCTCCATCGGATGGTGTTTGACCTCAAGCAAGCTGAGCCTGAAACTGCCTGAGGGCAACTTCCCCAGTTCCTGGACTTGTGTGCAGTTCCATTTCTGGGCTGTCTTGAGTTTCCTTTACTCAGTTGCCCAAAGGACCTGTCCTTGTGGGGCCATGACTAAAAATGGATCGAAATCGGAAAACCAACAGGTTAAAAGGTCGGCTTTGGGCAACTGAGTTTAAAGTAATCCCAAAAAATGGCATCGCCGAAAAGAGCTGAGACCCGTTTCCCGAGCTGAGACCCGCTCGTCTGAACCGGAGTCGTCATGGCCGCGCAAAGAAATCCTCTACTCCCCGCCACGAATCTACGAGCCAGGCGCGGTGTCATGCTGAACCTACGGGCAATATCGCATCTGTCAGTTTATTTCCCGCCCAACTAGACCCTCAAACTAAAGAAAGATTGCTCCTTGCTGTAAGCGATGTTCCACTTACGTCTGCCTTAAGATGGATATCAAAATCGGGTGGTCTCCCTGGAAGCATACCCAGGGATTATCTTTAGTCCGCCTTTTTGGCCCTGTTTAGGACAATTCCCTGAAACCGTCACTCGAGTTGTTGCGAAGTGACCAGACAGAAACCCCCTTCAAAGATAGGTTCTACACACACGAAGAAGGGGGGCCGTCTGGTCACAAGACCAGAACCCCAAGCCTTTCACCACTTGGTTGAAACCTCCTGTGCCATCAACAGGCGATGCCGGCCACTCAGTTGCCCAAAAGACCTGGCGCCGTACACGTGGCCAAAGTCAGGGAAGCCAACAGGTTAAAAGGTTGATTCTCTTTGGGCAAGTGAGGCAATCCTCTAAAGTCCCGATGAACATGCCAACCCAACCCCACCCCACCCGAGAGGCATTTGCACTCAAAGGGGGTGCTGGCGCCAAGCTGGTGGTGGTTGGTTTCTCTTTGAAATCAACCAACCCCTGAAAAGAACACATCTCCAAATGGAGGTCAAATGGAGGTGCAGAAGAGAGCACGGCCACGTCCCAGGTGTCCTGTTGGACAATTGGAAGGCGGGCGTGCCGCATATCAACCAAGCTGAGCCAGACAAGCACGTCTGGAGGCAACCCGATGATCAACTGCGTGACTTCTAGGCATTCTTCGCCCACGTGCTAATCCAAGAGAGGGCATCCGGAAACTTTAGCGTAGAGCTTGCCAGGGCATCCCCTCATGGTTCTGGCTCCGCGTTAGTGAACATACTGAGTCCCACCCTTACCAAAACGCGGCGCGCAAGAAGTCACCGACATAAAATCCTCGCGAAGACCTTGTCACACAGAAAAGTCCTTGCTCTTGACATGGAACGCGAAGAAGCTTTTTGTGGGGGGCGTTAAAACTGCGGGAAAGTATGGCATTAAGTGGGTGTATCTTTTGTGAGGAGCCCGAAAATGGCTTCGGTTGTCCTCGAGTTCCCCTCTAAAACAACCAAAACAGGTACCCCCCCCAAAAAAAAAGAAGAAAGACACACCCAACTGGGATCCACTGAAACAACCATCGCGCGCTTTTTTGAACTTTTTCTGAGCCAAAGGGATCGCGACTCATCTGAGCATCGGGGACTGGCGGTAGCGGGTGTCCAAATCCTCGGATCGGCGCAAGGCTTTGACGGGTAGTTGTGGCTGAAAAGCCCAGTGACATTGCCTTAAGCCAGTGTCCAAACCGTCAGGCGAAGACAACAACTTCACCCCATACTTTTGAGGGAACTATCCAATTTGTGTGGGTACTTTGAGTCCAGGACCTTTTGTTGGCTGCTGTGAGAGGGAAACCCTTCTCAGGAAAGCCAGGTGCAGAGGAAAGACTCTGTTCCGAGCGCAACATGTGTTTTGACTGGTTGAACCGGATGAAGGAACAGGGGTTGTACCAAGACGGGGGCGGTTGAAAAGAGGCGTGACTAACTGAAGGATAATGTGGGTCAAAATTCAGCCACCAGACCGCAGTCCTTTCCATTTACCAGGGTTCAATTGTGGGGTTACCCCATTCTTCACCCACGCCCATATGGCTGTGGCTCAAAAAACCGGTACCAAAATGGATCCCTGGTAAGTGGAAAAATGGGCCAAAACCTGCGTAACCCCCCTGTTTAATTTTGAGCCACACCCATATAATACAAGGACATACTATGGAGCCAATACTTCAGCGACTCGCAAGAGCCGAAGTTCATGGCCCTTCCTGGTCGCTCGATGCCACCCCCATAGGTCCCTGAACAGCACCACAGAAGGAAACTCACCTAAAATTGGCCCAGGTGATGTGAACCGCAGGGACATGTAGGGGAACCCCTGTATCTGAGATGTTGAATGTGACGAACCCAAAAGGAAGACTGCCTCAATATGTCGGGGTGACCTCCCGACTTTTGAAGCGTAGTTTGAGGGCTTTCAACAGGACTGGGACAGAGGTGATATACTCCCAAGCGGAGGAATTGAGGACAGAAAACCGGCTTACAGCTCCATTGGCTTGTGGAGAGCTCGATTCGTTTCCCACTTGCAAGCCAAGGGACAAGACAATTCTCAGTGCGACTCACGTAGGCTCATGAAACAGAAAACCACATGTGATGGCCCGTCAAGGAGCAGTGCTGGGAATGGCCGAAAGGGGCGACAAGAGTACATTGACCTCCCAAATATAATATATATATATATGTATATATCATATACATATCTTGTTCATGGCCATGGCCCCCAAACTTGCAAAGTCCAGGCACCGGAGTGAGAATGAGTTGAAATGACCCCAAAAGTGACCAAAAGTTCAGCTTTTGATTCCCTGAGCCAGCAGGAGGATCAGCCTTCTCTTTAGACCCCGAAATGGAGTGCACCGAAGAACACGTGGTCATCACCCATGTTTTTAAACTCTGAAAAAGCACACATGTTGACATAGACTACTGGACGCTCTTGACCAAACCCAGGGGGTTCATCGTCTGATCTAAAAATCGTGAGCTGACCCAGGTACCACAAAACTGTCCGCAGTGCGCAGCAACAAGCCACATGCTGCATGCACAGAACCAAAGAAAGTCACCTATGAGCGGAACCTCATAAAGCACTCCAGCATGAAGAGACAATGTCGAACGTCGAACCGTTAGACCCTCCAAAGGTGCCGAGATCTTTGTTGAAAGGTTTTGAGCCTCAAACAAGGCCTTGTTGAGGTCCCAAGACGCCCCAAGATGCTTAGGGATGAACAGAACAAAATCACCCAAAACACATTTGCTGAAGTGCCTTGGCAAATAACACACATATGTCCAGTAGTGTTCTTGATTCTTGCTGAATCTAACATGGGGAAACTAATAGGCAAATGGACGAGAACAAGAACTTGGTTGCGACCCCCTGCAAAAAGTTTAACTTTTTGGGGAGTTAGTGGAAACCACCTTTATTTCCGAAAAGTTAAACCCAATAGCAGTCAAGACAACATGCCATTCGAAAATGGAAGTCTCTCTGCGCTTCTCGGGCCGATCCTCTTTTCTTCCTTTCGAACTCCATCCGGAGACAGCCTCTGGGTATCCAGAAAACATGGGCCTTAAGCTGTCCTCTCAGAAGCTTACGCGAAGCGCAACTGAATCAGCTTTCGTGATTTGGGTTGTCATTGACGCTCCTTAGCTCCCCATTTGATAGTGAATTGAATCACTCCTCGCTCATTGGCTCCACCAATATTCACCAAGACCAACATATGGTTAACTGTTTGAGGCCTTTGCGATTTGGCCGACTCAAGAGTCTGGTTCCAAGTGAATTTGCAGGAGAGATGCTATCAGAACTGATTTAGCATGTCTTAAGTCGGTGCACCTTGGAAGGACACCCTGTCTGTGCAGTTTCCTCAAGTGCATGGGCCAGCAAAAAAGCTGAACCTGCTTGTTAACCACTTAACATGATACTACCGAAAAATAGAAAGTCAAAGAAGTCAGGAAATGAATCCAGGAAAAGTAAACTGACCTGCTCAGTTCAGGTCAATTTCTTGGCCGTTCAAGGACCAATACACCTACGATTGATGCCCTGAACATTGCGGAAACGTAGGCAGCAAGGCAAACTCTATTTGTGGCATCCACTGCACCTATGAAACGTTTCAAGCTTGCCAAAAGGTGACTCCCTCCGCTTCTGCTCGCAACAACCAAAGATATGCTTGGTGCACGTTCAGCGAACCGTGGAAGCTATCGTGTCAAACGCTGCGTGGCTCGTATATCCGTTGCGAGTCAAACCTGGTGGGATATGTCCACTAGTCTGACCCAGTGGATCCCAGTTACCACTCTAGTAGGTAACCAGCTATTTTACTATTGGTTCTTAAAACGGTGGTTCCCTTGGTTACCTACTATACGGGGAAATGGATCCGCTGGAGGGAATGGCTCTGGACCTTTAAGTTTCCCTGGGCAAGACGCTGGCGACCAATTCTTGCGCAGCCCGCGAACCTGGACAGCCAGAAGCCGCCTCGTCACTTTGGGGGTGAGACGGTTGCGGCGCGTCATTTGACGCGCGAGTGAGACGAGAATGGGATCCCCGAACGGCCCTCAAAGCCCAGGCTGGGCCCACAAGGGAAATCCTCTCTTTAACATGTGTCCACACAGCATGGTATGTATATATATATATACATGGGTCTGTCTCAAAATAACGTTCCCCTCCCTGGAAGTTGTTGGTGGAGGTAGGGGTATGCTTCGGGGGAATGATGCGATGCATGATTCGCAAGAAGAAACCACGCCCATGTTGGCACTTGCCTGCGTCTGGCTTTGCAGCAATGATTCGGTCACGTGAGGCATGGAAGCAAAAGGTTTTGTCTGATGGATGCTGCCCGACTTTGGTGAATACATAGTAAATGTAGTAGTAGTAGTAGTAGTAGTAGTTGTTGTTGTAGTAGTACTAGTAGTAGTAGTAGTAGTAGTAGAAGTAGAAGTAGTAGTAGCAGAAGTAGTAGTGGTGGTGGTGGTAGTAGTAGTAGCAGTAGCAGTAGCAATGTTGTTGTTGTGGTAGTAATGGTAGTAAGTAGTAGTAGTAGTAGTAGTCATGGTAGTAGCAGCGGCAGTAGTGTGGTGACAACAGTAGTAGTAGCAGCAGCAGCAGCAGCAGCAGCAGTAGTAGTAGTAGTAGTAGTAGTACTAGTAGTAGCAGTAAGCAGTAGTCGTAGTAGAAGTAGTAGTAGCAGTAGCATTAGCATTAGCAGTAGTAGTAATAAGTAGAAGTAGCAGCAGCAGCAGTGGCGGTAGTCGTAGTCGTAATAGTAGTAGCAGCAGTAGAAGAATGTTGGATGCTTCACAGGGGTATGATTCGAGGTATGATTCGGGGGTATTCTTCGGGGTATGATTGGCGGATGGCCCACTTCCACCCTCTTCAAGTCTTGTACACACGCCCATATGACGCTATATACATATGTTTGTATATATATATATATATTCATGTATCCAAATGAGTGAACCACACAACTAAAACAGAGACCGACCAACAAAAAGGGAACTTGATGAGGTAAGACACCAAAACCTGCCATGTGAGGTCCTTCTGAACCAATCGCTCTGTGTGTGCCCTCTTCAAGCCCCGAAACAAGGGTTGACCTAACCTAGATCATAAAACTCCTTTAGTACACCACGGTGGTTGTAATACGGCATGTTAAGGCTTTTTGAGGTAAGTTTCCCATGGGTGGGATGATTGTGGAAGGGGACATGTAGAAACCCTGCCAAAAGCTACTCAAATGCTCTTCAACAAAAAACATTGGGGAACGCAGTCGGGGACGACCCAACCTCGCGGTCGGCTTGTGCTTTTCCAATGATGTCACCACTCGCTGCTGCACTCACCATGTGAGCAGCGATCAACCCACTTGATTCTACCAAAACGGTTCTGAATGTTTATAATTAAACACTATCCCAATGAAACACCTACGAAAACTGCCAGATTGTTCTTCTTTTGCTGCTGTGGCAATTGACCCTTTCTGCAATATTCCCTTGCTCACTTCCTGGAATGGCCAAATCAAGCAACCAAACTTGTTGTTTGCCATCCAAACCCAAAAAATCGCCTCAAGCAAAACATGAATTCCCAGGGAGTGAGCTTGGTATCACAGAAGGTAAGCCAACAACTCAGCTCTCTCCTTGCGCTCTCACTCGATCTCCCGCACCTTCGGCGAGGACCAACACCCCGGATCCTCCTCCACTTCCAGCAGCCTCAGAAGAGTCAAGTGCCATGGGGGAAAAAGATGAACTGAGCACCCGTTCTGTATAGTTTTTCTTTAAGTTGCCTCCCCCTCCAGAAACGGGCTGGAAAAGGAGGCAACCCATTTTCGGGGGCAAGCTTCTGGTTCAAAAACTCGGCTAGCCCACAACGAGTAGGTGGGAGGTCTGGCTTTACAACGGGAAGTGGACTAACCCCAGTTGCCAACCAGCTAGCCCACTGAAAGTTGGTTGAACATCCAAGCAGCGGCCACGCGGAAAAAGGGCACTCTGTGTTTTGTGATTTGTTGAGTTGACTTGAAAGGGCAGCCCTCCCAAATAAAGTTAAAACCAGCATGGAATCCACTGGGTGTCTGGAAAAGCGGGGGTTCCTTCCAAAGGAGACTGCTGTCGTGTTCCTGGTGGGGGCCACGCCATTGTCCAAAAAGTTGAAGGTTTATGATGCAAGGCAGCCACAAACATACT